ATTGGATTAGATAATCTAAAATTATTGAGAGCCGTTATTAATTTAAGCAAAGGAACTTTACATACGCCCTACGCCAAAATTAGACTAAAATTTCACCAGCTTTCTAACGACTTAAATTTGATAACCGTCGCACCTCGAACCGAACAAGTAATAAAAATCAAAACATCGATCGCCAATGGTGAAATCGTAATTCCTCATCAAAAATTTCATAATTGCGAGATACCTGAATGCCTTACGATAGCAAAAAATAATTTTGCGTTGACAACGATTTTGAATAACACTACTAAGCCTGTTACATTAAATTTTTCTCAGCCGATTTCAGTAGAATCATTTAATTTATCAGAAATGCCAGAAATTGATCTCAATTATTTAGACACTTCAAAAAAATTTGACCTAGATTTGTCGAAAATCAGGATTGATCACCTAAATTCTGAAGAGAAATCAGAGATACTTCAACTTTGCAGAGAGTTTTCAGACATTTTTTACCAGGACGGAACTCCACTAACATTTACTAATAAAATCAAACATCAAATAAAAACCAAAAACGAAAGGCCCATTTACACAAAATCGTATCGCTATCCATTCGTTCACAGAGGCGAAGTAAATAGCCAAATACAAAAAATGTTGGATTCCAATATAATACGTCCAAGTAGCTCAGGTTATAATTCACCTATCTGGGTCATTCCAAAGAAGCTAGACGCTTCGGGGAAGCAAAAATGGAGAGTTGTAATTGACTACCGAAGTTTAAATGAACAGACTATTGGCGATAAATATCCATTACCCAATATCAACGACTTGCTAGACAAACTTGGCAGATGCCAGTATTTTACTACCCTTGACTTAGCGAGTGGTTTCCATCAAATCGAGATGGAGGAAACAGACATAGAAAAAACCGCCTTTAGTACCGAAAATGGGCATTGGGAGTTTCTCCGGATGCCTTTTGGCCTAAAAAACGCGCCCGCCACATTCCAACGCGTCATGGATAATATTTTAAGGGGACTACAAAACGAGAAATGTCTCGTATATCTCGACGACATTATAATTTTTTCTACATCCCTTCAAGAACATATTGAAAATTTAAGGTCAGTTTTCCAACGACTCAGAACTTCAAAATTTAAAATACAGCTCGATAAATCAGAATTCCTTCGTAAAGAAGTAGCTTATCTCGGACATGTAGTCACACCAGACGGCGTTAAGCCAAATCCAGATAAAATTATTGCCATCCAAAAATTTCCGATTCCAAAAACGGCTAAGCAGATTAAAAGCTTTCTCGGACTTATTGGTTACTATAGACGTTTTATTAAAGATTTTGCGAAACTCACAGAGCCTCTAACTAAATGTCTAAAAAAGGGAGCCAAAATTGAGCACGATGCAGAATTTATTGACTGTTTCGAAAAATGTAAAAATGTTCTTATGAATGAACCGATACTCAAGTATCCAGACTTTTCTAAGCCATTTAACTTAACCACGGATGCGAGCAACGTAGCCCTTGGTTGTGTACTTTCACAAGGCCCTATAGGACAGGATCTTCCTATCGCCTATGCTTCCCGCACGCTTAATGATTCCGGACGAAATTATAGTACGATTGAGAAAGAATTACTAGCAATAGTCTGGGCGACTAAATACTTTAGACCCTATCTTTACGGGAGAAAATTCAATCTAATTACTTAAAATACTTATGGTCCCTTCGAGACCCTTCTTCAAAATTACTAAGATGGAAAATCAGGTTAGACGAGTATGATATGAATATCATCTATAAGAAAGGCAAACTGAATACAAATGCAGATGCCCTGTCTCGTGTAGAGATCCATACAAAGAAACCAGTTCATTTTGGAACGACTTAGATGATTTGATTCAAGAATGCGCGGGTACTCAACACCAAAACGTTAAGTTTGACCGACCAGTTCAGAAAGGCTCATCTGAATTAAGTACACCTACATTTAACTTTTCTACCCCAAAACAACCGGATACCGAATCTATGTTCGTAAACGTCGATAATGACGAAGACACTCTTTTTATTCAACCCCCGGACGAAATTGTAGATATCATTGAACATGAACAAGTCAATTTAGAATATCAAAATAATCGTCCTGAAAATCCAGCCGAAACTGTACATTCAAATGCGGACCAACACCCCATTCAGACAATTCCTATAGTTGATTACGCAGTTAATCAGGGAAATAATCAGATTATCATAAGTACAGTAAAACATTCACCTGCACCACCAAAAATTTCTATTTTATTTGAAAGCAAGCAACGAATTATCGTACAATTTTCAGAAAATGATTTTGACGATGATGTATTTAAATTTATTCGAGATTATATTGCTCCTCACGTCATTTATCACTTATACTTATACTTATATCCAGATATATATGAAAAATTTTCTGTTGTTCTACAAAGGATGTTTAAGTCCGATGCTTTGAAATTCAAAATGTGTAGAACCAAATTAGTCGACGTTACAGATAAAACTGATATCAAGGACATTATCCGGAATTACCACGAAAGCAAGTCGAATCATCGTGGAATTGAGGAAACGCATCAGAGAATAAAAGAAAAATATGTTTGGCCTAACTTGAAAAAATCAATCCAAACATTTATAAATGAATGTGAAATTTGTCAACAATGTAAAAATGAGCGTCATCCGATAAAAATTGCGATGAGTTTCACCCCCACTGCATCAAAACCTTTTGAAATCGTACATATCGATACTTTCACTTTTGAAGGTTCAAAATTTCTCACAATTATAGACAGTTTTTCTAAATATGCTCAAGCATATCAGATTACTTCGCTTTCAGGAACTGAAATTGCTGATAATCTGATATTATTCTTTTCTCATCATGGAATTCCTACCCGAATTATCGCAGATAATGGTACTGAATTCAAAAATACCGTTGTAACTGAACTTTTGTCACTTCACAAAATTAAGCTTCATTTTATTTCGCCAAATCATCCAGATTCTAATGGAGTCGTTGAACGATTTCATTCAACTATCACCGAACATTTAAGATTGTTGAACACAGAAGGCTTTCAGAAAACCCCTATAAAAATGAAAATGTTGTATGCCGTTTTAGCCTACAACCACACCTTACATTCTGTAACAAAATTAAAGCCTATAGATATAATCAATGGACATATTACGTCGAATGAACCATTCGATATCAAAATCGACCAATTACTCCTCAATGACTATACCAACAGCCACAAAGAGCGTACAAAACTATTGTATTCAAAAATAAATTCTGATCTCATTCAAAACAAAGAGATAACGCTAGAACGCGTTAACAGAGATTGCGATAGTCCGACTATACTTGATAACCGAGAAACAGTATACGTCAAAAAGCATGTTAGAAAAAAGCACGCCAACAAATTCTCAAAGCCGTGTAGACTACAAAGTGTTAATACGGAGAAAAAGACTTTACTCGTTTGACTAAGCCTCGAGCAATTAGATAAGAAACTATGTATGTAATCTACGTTTACTTTACTCTTAATTGCACGCTAAAAATAAGATTTTCTTTCGAATATATTATTTTACAGGTTCCCAGGAATCATAGGAATCCATGGTACGATAACGTTGAAGAATTTAGAAAATAACCTAGGGTTGATACCCATGAAATTAGGGACCGCCAAAATTACAAAAAATTGTCACTCAATACTGTATTTTTACGACGTCAATTTAATAATCACTGAAGTTAATGACCTTAAGAAAAAAACTGAAAATGTTGCGAAATTAACCAGGAAATATATTGAGCACTATAAACACTCAGCAAATTACCTCAATGTTTTGTATTTCTTAGAAAGAAAAGTAGACGGAAAGCTAAATGACATTTTTCCCTCTACTTACGAAACTGTTCCATCATTCTCTGTTAGAATAAAAAGGGGATTAATAAACGGCTTAGGTTCAATTTTCAAAGCAATCACAGGAAACCTGGATGCTTCAGATGGTGAAAAATTCGAGTCTCTAATAAGCGATTTGCAGAATGATCAAAACAAGTTATCAGAAGCTATCAATAGTCAGAATACCTTATCTGTCGAACTTATCGATAATTTCAATAAAACTGTAAGTCAGATTACTCATAACCAAAAGCTATTGGAAGCTAAAATAAATCAGCTTTTAACAGCCATGATTAACACACAAGCCTACATAGAAAATGGCTTTTTCTTGAGAGATACAATCTCAGAGATCATGAATATCTATCATATCATAATTTCAGTACTCCAGGATATATAAAACTCACTTACTTTTGCAAAATTGGGAATTATGCTCCCCAGTGTAATCAAACCAAAACATTTACTTCAAGCACTAAATTCAGTGGGATTAAAACTATCCACAAAGCAACTCCCTTTAGAAGTTACTTTGGATAATATCCCGATTTTTGAAAAGCTCATTAAAATCGGCTGTTATACAGTTGATAGAAAAATAACATATATTCTTCAAATTCCAATTGTTCATACATTCCAATTTGATTATTATCACTTATATTCAATTCCAACCTTTCATAAGGGTCTGTTCAAAGTAGTCATCCCTTCTGGAAAATATCTTGTAAAGAATGAGTTGTACTTCGCTTTTGCGGGAGACGCATGCACGGAAACGGTCACAAAACAGTACGTTTGCAAAGAACTAGATTTAAGAAGAATCAAAGAATCCAATCCCTGTGAAGTTCAACTCCTGGTACAAAAAACTCCCACTACCTGCCGAGAAGTAGAAGCCGTAATCACAGAGCCAGTAATGAAGAAACTGCATGATTTCGGACAATGGATCTTGCTTATATCCAATGAAACCACCATTACATTAAGCTGTCAAGAAGGCCAAGAAACAGTCAAAGTTTTGGGATCCTACTTAGCCGAAATTCCAGTCGGTTGTACACTGGAACTAAATCAAGAGCCTATATCGATTGGAAGTCAGCCAATTATTTTTCCAAATATAGATAGCAATACTACAATGCTACCAAGCCGAATGACTTCAGCCTTCATCTAGACCAAATAGAATTTGATGAAGTTCACAAAGTAAAAAGAAGATTAATAGAAAATCGTGTTGACATCCATTCACATAAGGTGTCGCACATTCCCAGTTCTTGGACAATCCTGTTGTATGGAGTACTGCTGCTGCTACTTTGCTGTTTTGTCTACAAGAAGATCATTCCGAAGATTTTTACTAAGCCGAAGAAACCACAAAGAACCCCTATTGAAGAAGTTGATCTTTCCAATGTGCAACTTCCTCGTTAACCCTCGAAGTTGCATCTACAAGGGGAGGCGTTATAGTACAGAAGATTTACCCCTACCACTAAAGAACAGGATCGAGTTCCCTGGATCAGCGCTTTGCCTTATCCAGTCTTATATTATTGTAAACAGAGTTAGATAGTCTGTTGTTAGCGCTCATACTATATACATCAATAGAATTGTATTTTTGATAATCGAGAATAAATCTTTTTAAAAAGCAAGTAGACTGACTCGGTCAGATAATTAGTGGGATACTAGTAAGAGCAGCTTCATTTATAACGTTTGTTAAAAACTCTACCGATACACTGCTGTCCTGAGAAAGTTCCAAGGAGGAAAATTGCTGTTCATATGTATGCCAATCTGCTTTTGGGATGATCCAGTATTGAGGGATTTGTGTATTGGCTTTGTGTGTATCGAGGGTCACCTTGCATGGAAAATGGTCACTGTTATGAAGATCATCTAAGACAGACCAGAGGACACGTCCAGAAACTGTGGATGAACATATAGCCAAATCAATTGCTGAGAAGCTTTGACAACGTGCAGAAAAATGTGTGGGTGAACCATCATTGAGCACTGTAAGGTTATCTCTTTCTAATAGTTCGGAAATTGAGCGCCCTTGACAGTCAGTTCTAGTAGATCCCCATAATGGACTGTGCGCATTGAAGTCTCCTACAAGTAGAACTGGTTTCTTAATAATATTTGCAACACCTCCATGAGCTCTGCTTTCAGATGAGATATCCTTCCTAATGATGTTATACCTTTTTAGGTTATACGGAAAATTGGGACGTAAGTGAGTCTCTTGCACACGTACGCAGATGGGGTCATGGTCATGCAATAATATTTTTAGGTCGCAATATTTTTGTACGATACCATTGCAGTTCCAATAAATTATTGATTCCATTGTATGTGTCATGTTTTTTGTTTAAAGTTAAATTATAATGAATAGTGAGTAAATGTTATAAATGCCAAGATAATATAAATATATGCAGTGGTATTGGATATAAATAAAACAAACTGGTAAGTACTGTAATAAGTTAAAGATTATAATTATTATTATTATTACAATTATTATTATTATTATTATTATAATTATTATTATTATTATTATTATTATTGTTATTGTTATTATTATTAATATTGGGGACAAAGGCCTGTGAGTAGCCTCCGCGAGGCAAAAGCTGCCCAGGCAGGTGTATAGCGTAGTACAGACTTATAGTCCATCAGCTTCTGCACCTGCAAGACCGTCCGTGCGTGGTGAAGAACCACATACTGCTAGAGCTGTCCCTGCTTTTAACAGGACATGGCGGATCTAGAGGAGTAAACCTCAAAAAAAAACCGCAATCCCAAGGTATTTGTTGTGCTGAGGGGATGAATGGCACTGAGTTAGTGTGTTCTAAACGGCTGCCTCCGGATACCGGGCGACCTCCGGTTGAAACTAGCCTTGCTATGATAAGCCTGCTCTTTCATAGTCGACCTCCATATCAGAGCCTACTCGTGGGAATAAGATGAAGCATACTCAAAACCAAAACATCCAGGAGGCGCCCGCCCTCCAAAAAACGGGTAGTGCTGGGGGAGCACTTTCCAGTCCTTCAGCAGGCGTGAGGTCGATGGGCGATTGCCCCCGGTTTCTGCTTGTTAAAAGAGAAAACGATAATTTTTATAAAGTGAGCCCTTTTGTTATATCAAAGACATTATATGGAATTGTTGGTGAAGTAAAGTTAGTGAGAAAGGTTCGAGAAGGTCTCCTTGTTGAAACTAAATCTACACAGCAGACTATGCGACTATTCCCGATAAAAAGGTTTGGAGAATTTGATGTGAGTATGGAGGCACACCAGTCCCTCAATACCCGAAAAGGCGTGTTTTTTTGCAGAGACTTGCTCAACTGCTCGATTGAGGAGATATTGGATGAACTGAAAGGTGATGGTGTCATACATGTAAGAAGGCTAAAGAGTAAAAGGAATTGAGAACTGGTTGAAACTCCAAATCACGTGCTGATATTTAGGAAAACTGTCTTACCAAAGGAAATCCGCGTTGCGTTCCTTAAGTTAAATGTAAGGCCTTATATTCCACCACCTACCAGGTGTTTCAACTGTCAAGCTTTAGGTCACACAGCTGGAAACTGTCAGAAGGAAAAAATATGTCCATGTGGTAATCCTCCACACGAAGGTCCTTGCCCGGAACCCAAAAAATGCGTAAATTGCGAAGGTCCACATTCAGCAGCTTATATGAATTGTCCAAAACTAAAAGCTGAAGCAGCAATACAGAAAGTAAAGGTAATGGAAAACATAACATATGCAGAAGCAAAAAGAAAAGTAAATATAACCACTCCAAAACCTACTACGTCCTATTCTGCTGCCGTCCAAAAGTCATCAGAAATGAACATTCAGCAGATCATATCAACAATAATTCCTCATATCGAAACTGCAGTTAGAAACGCAATCTCATGTTCTACATCTAAGTGCGACCATTTTAAAGCCCCATCATCAGGGCTAATCTTCCGTAGAGATAGATCTGAAAAAACTATTTATTTTATTTATTATGTACCGTCCATCCCTACATACTATTTATTTTATTTATTTGTTGTGAAAGTATTTTATTTAGATACATTTAAACTCTTAAAATCGCAATGGAATCAATCATACAGTGGAACTGCAATGGAATTGTCCAACGGTACTGTGAGCTTAGGCTGATTTTACAGAATCATGATCCAATGTGCTTATGTATTCAAGAGAGCCATCTCAGACCAAATCAAACTTACTCTCTTAGAAAATATAACATCTTGAGAAAAGATGTCACAGCTATCGAGCGAGCACATGGAGGAGTTGCGATAATTTTACGTGAGGATGTCTGTTTTGAGCCTTTATGTGTAAACTCAGCACTACAAGTTGTTGCAGCTCGAATAACAGTTCTTTAAAGGTAACTGTCTGTAATATATATGTATACCTACCTGATGGAAATTGGCGAATTGGTGACATCGAAAACGTTATATCTCAGCTCCCAGCACCATTCTTGTTCATTGGAGATTTCAATGCGCATAATCTCCTGTGGGGATCAGGACGTTTAGATCACCGAGGAGAATTGATAGGAAACTTACTAGACAGAGAAGATCTGATGTTGCTAAATACAGGAATGTCCACCCATCTGGCTGCTCGTTCCAGATCTTTCTCTGCGATTGATCTAGCGATCAGTTCAACATCCATAGCCGATCGCCTCCAATGGAGAGCTCTAGATGACATGTATCATAGTGATCATTTTCCTTGTATCACGTCCTTTGACATATCTAGAAGTAGTCCCCAAGTGCCACAATACTGGTTGATGTCAAAGGCAAATTGACAGCAATTCGAAGACTACTTATCAATTGTGAGTCCTGTACAAGATAATAACATTGGTATTCATAGTTTTACTCAGCTGATACATCAGGCTGCGGTGAACAGCATTCCGCTTGGTGGTGGATCTCCAAGAGGCCGTCGGTTACCATGGTGTAACTCTGACATATCCGATGCCGTGAGATCAAAAAAGCGTGCACTTAATATTTTTAAGAGGAACTGCACGGTATCAAACATGATATCTTTTAAGAAAGCTAGAGCTAAAGCGCGACGTCTTATTCTAGAAAGCCAGAGAAAATCATGGAAAGAATATGTCTCCACTATTACTACTGAAACGACAGCAAGTGAAGTATGGAATAAAGTCAGAGCCGTGTATGGTAGACAATCAGTTAGGCAAATCACACATCTGCAGACCTGTAACAGCAACATCATTAATAGCACAAATGAGGTGTGTAATTTACTAGCAGATACATTTGCTACCGTCAGCAGCTCGGAAAACTATAGTCGCGAGTTCAGGTCCACCAAAAATGCAACGGAAATACCACTAGACTTTTCAACAGACGTATCTTTAGCGTATAATGAGCCATTCCAACTGTTTGAGCTAGAAGAAGCCTTAAAAAAGACAAATCGATCAGCTCCTGATCCGGATATGGTAAATTATGAGATGATCCGTCATCTTCCTCTCCATGTCAAGCTTACTCTCCTCAACATATACAACAGGATATGTCTTGCAGGAATATACCCAAAAGACTGGAAACTTGCAATCGTCATTCCCATTCTTAAACACGGAAAGGATCCACTCTTGCCTGAAAGTTACAGGCCCATAAGTCTTACTTGCTGTCTCGGAAAAATATTAGAGAGAATGGTAAATGAGCGCCTGTCGTGGTTTCTTGAAAAAAATGGCTTACTTGTTGATTACCAGGCAGGATTTAGAAAAAATATGTCTACAGTGGATCAACTTGTCTATGTAGAGAATGTCATCCAAAATGGGTTTAAAAACCGTCACCATACAGTAGCTATGTGTTTAGACATAGAAAAAGCTTTTGATTTGGTCTTGAGATATGATGTTCTATACCAACTGCACAATTGGGGCTTTAGAGGAATCTCCCAAAATTTTTGAAATCCTTCCTTACAGACAGGCGTTTGCAAGTACGTGTAGGAAACACTCTTGCAACAGTCCACACCTTGGAAAATGGAATACCACAGGGATCGACACTTAGCTGTACGCTTTTTGCGATTGCTATTAATAAACTTGCCGAGTCCATAAATCCGGTGGTGGACAGATGTCTATACGTCGATGATTTGTGTATACTATCATCAGGCCCTTCCATTGAAGAAATTTCTGGTAGCTTGCAGACAGCAATAAACCAAATAAGCCAAAATGCGATAAACAGTGGTTTCACATTGTCAAATACCAAAACAAAGTGCGTACATTTCTGCAGACTCCAACGTCAGCATGATGGGCCACTACTTTATCTACAAGGCCAATTAATCCCAAACCTAGGACTACGGTGCTGCCTTGGAGCATTCCGTACAACGAGAGCAGCTAGCCTTTGCGCTGAAGCAGCCGTCGAGCCATTAACTCTAAGGAGAAAAAGACTCGTACTCTCATACGAAGTCAGTACATCTGCTACGCCACACCATCGGAATTCTCTCTGTTAAGTATGTATGATGAAACCTATAATAGAAGCCTACTATCACAAGACCCCTCAGTGTGAGAATTTGTGAAATATCTCGAGAGCTAAATTTGACTAAAATGCCAGTTATCCAGTCAAAAATGAAAACCCCATCTTGGCAGATCCCATCTGCAAAAGTTAAAATTTCACAAAAAGGAAACACCAACAGTACAACTTACTGAGGTCTCATTTTCAAGGTATCCTGGAACAGTACACATGTGCCGAAACCATCTACACAGACGGTTCGAAAACTGCCTCAGGAGTTGGTTGCTCGATTATCATAAACGGGGTGGCCCATTTATGGACTCTCCCAGCAATGACATCGATCTTCACAGCCGAACAGTATGCAATTCTACAGGCGCTTAAATACTGCCAGATAGAGTCGAAAAGCAACCTTACTCTTATAGTCAGTGATTCTTTGAGCACCCTACATGCTATGTCAAATCGTTATTCCCGTGATCCATTAATCTTAGCATGTCTTCAGACATTAAAGGTGTTGATGGATGGCGACTAGAGGGTAGTCTTTATATGGGTACGAGGACCCGTAGGTATACTAGGAAATGAACTGGCAGATCAATCTGCAAGGCAGGCTGCTGCCGCAACTGAAATAGACTGTACAATAGTGATAGCACCAGACATGAAAATGAAAATTAGACAATGTATAACAGAAGCATGGCAAAGACAGTGGAACAATGAACCTACTCAGCTAAGAACAATAAAACCTGATGTAACAAAATGGACACCTAACGTCAAGATCAGTAGAGAAGAAGCCGTCCGGATACATAGACTGCGTTTGGGCCACACAGCATTGACACATTCCTACTTACTCTCGGGCCAAGGTCATCCAAATTGTCCGTCATGCGAGGGCACGATTAACTGCATGCATATTATGATAGAATGTCCAGCATTAAGCAACCTTAGATACAGTTTTGGTCTGTCAAGAGATTTCGCAGAAAATCTGAAAAAGCCTGATCTATAAAAAGCACGATATCGTTTCTGAAAGGCACGGGCTTTTTACTGGAAACTCTAATTACACTCAACCAAAACTGAATCACATAATGACACGCAACTAATGACCCAGTAGTCGATGCTGCATAATCGCAAGAACTACTACTATTATTATTATTATTATTATTCTAATTAGTAGTATCATTATTATTATTATATTATTAATATTAATATTATTATTATTATAATTATTACTACTATTATTATTATTATTGTTATCAATATTATTATTATTATTTTTATTATAATTATTATTATAATTATTATTATATAATATTATTATTATTATAAGTATTATCATTATTATTATATTATTATAAAATATTATTATTATTATTAGTATTATAATTATTCTTATTATTGTTCTTATTATTATTATTTTTTTTATAGCCGTAGGGCTTTGTTACTCCCATTAATCGGGGTGTTCTGGCTTACCCGACGTTTCAAGCATCAAAGGGGTAAGCCTCAGTAGTGACCTCACTAGGTACTTGCATTCCCATAAATTTTCTTACTATGCGGGCAGTTGCCAGCAAAACTCCTTCTGTATGATTTTGTGAATGTTTTCACTCAGTTTCCAGTGCTTTGATGTTTTCTAGCAGGCTTCTTGGTATCACCCTGTAGATGACATTATTATTGTATTGTTTCCACGTACTTCATTTTCCACTGGCGTTTATTTGAATTCTAGCTCCCTGTATTTTGCAACTTTCTCATTATTTTTGTATGTTAAATGTTACTATTAGGTATGGCCACATCAATCAGTGTTACTTTCTGGGCGCCCTTGTCGACAATGATTATGTCAGGTCTGTTTTGTTTTATGTATGATCCGTAAGCACAGTGCGATCCCAGTATAGTTTATACTTGTCGTTCTCGAGGACACATTGCGGTGTATATTTGTAGTACTGTAGCTTACATTCGGTCAGTTTTAATTTGTATGCCAACTCCTGGTGAATGATTTGGCAGCTATGTCGTGGCGCTCCTTATAGTCGTTGGAGCGAATGCTTGGCATCCACCAGTTACGTGTGTTTCGGAGTCCTGACAGCCGTACCTGCATTTATCAGACTGTTGCAAGTTCTTAAGTATGAACCTCTTGTAATTGTTGGTAGGGATGACCTGGTCCTGTATAGCTACAAGGAATCCCTCAGTCTCAGGGAACATTTGGCCTGAGGTAAGCCAATCGTTTGACGCTTTCTTGTCAACGTTTTCTTGGCTAATCTCGTTTGCCATGTCTCCCATGTAAGAGGTTTTTCAATCCATCGTTGTAGCTTCTGTTATAATATTATAATTATTATTGTTATTGTTATAATACTTATTATTATTATAATTATTATTATTCTGTTTTCACTCCTAGAGGAAGGGATGAGCTTGACCGGAACTCTGCCTGAGTTCTAAGGTCTTTAGTCGGAAAGGGTTTTCCGCAAAATGTGGGCTGTTCCTAGCAGTGCTATCTTTTGAACTTGTGTTGCAAAGACATCTCCGGGGGAGTTCTTTTATGTTGTTCTTGAATGACATAGTGGCAGTCCCCAAAGCTCCGATGATCACGGGTACCGTTCTTGTCTTGTCTTCCACATGCGCGATATTTCGATTTCGAGGTCTTTGTATTTTCTGGCCTTTTCCGCTCTTTGGTGTTGACGTTGTGTCGTCTGGTACAGATACCTCAATTAGCAGACATGTGTTCTGTGTTTTATGATGGTAAATAATATCAGGTCGGTTGGCGGAAATCGTACGGTCGGTAATGACTCCTTTGTCGTACATAATTAATGCTTCGTCTGCCTCTACTGCTGCTTTCAGGAGAATGATCATACCAGTTGTTGCTAACTGGTACTTGGTGCTGCTTGAGGATAGCCCAGTGTATGTATTTAGCGACGTTGTTGTGCCTTTCGGTGTATTCTGTTGGTGCCAGTGTTGAGCAGCCTGAAATAATGTGGCTTATATGTTCCTCACATTGATGGCATATTCTGCATTTGCTGTCGACATTCTGTTTCAGGACCATTCTTCTATGGTAGCGCGTGTTAAGTGCCTGGTCCTGTGCAGCAATCAGTAGACTTTCAGTCTCCGCCTTCAGTCCTGTACTTTTCATCAAGTTCGTGCTATTGCATGAGCAACAAAAGGCTAAATACTCCATTACAAAGATCGGGGAAGCCATGAAAAGACAATATGCATACAAATTGAACGAAGATCAGTCAGCGGACAACTTGAAACTCAGAGTAAAGGAGGCCATGCGAACAGAAAAAGTCAACGCCCTAAAATCGAAACCACTCCATGGACAGTTCTACAATAACCTACACAAAACCAATGTAGATAAACACATGTCCCTGGATTGGATGAAAAGTAATTATTATTATTATAATTATTATTATTATTATATTATTATTATTATTATTATTATTATTATTATTATTATTATTATTATATTATTATTATTATATTATTATTTGTTTATTTTCCACATTCCTATCTATTCAACTGGTTGTTCTGTCCATGTGGGCCGGTTTTGGTTGGTCATTTTCATTATGGTACTTCGAAGATGTTACCCACATCCTAACGAAGTCCATTACCTTATAGTGTCTTACGTAATATGGTTGCTGTACCATAAAAAGCAATCTCCTGCACGTCTGCTGCCCTGTGCCTTCCTGGTATGAGATTTAGGTTTTCATGTAGATTGTCTGGGATCGTCCCTAAAGCACCTAAAATTACGGGAACTATCTTCGTCCTCAGATTCCACATCCTTTGGATTTCAATTGAGAGATCTTTGTATTTCAATTTCTTTTCAGCTTCTTTGTTTACAACGTTTTCATCGTTGGGGACTGAAACATCTATTAACAGGCAGGTTTTGTCACGTTGGTTTTTGACGATTATGTCTGGACGGCTCGCGGATATCTCACGATCTGTTTGCACTGGTAAGGCATATATTACGGTAATCTCATCTTTACTAACTACTGGAGTGGGGTTGTGATTATACCATTTTTGTCTTGTACGTAAGGCCTGGTCTTGGGCGGCCGTTATCAGGGCCTTTTACCTTCCCTCTCGTGAGCCACGCAAACGTTTGGCATTCATTAATCCCTGGCCTCTTAATTCTCTTCACGTATTGACCATGAAGCTGCTTTCGTATCCATTTATCCTTCAAGGTCTTCCTTGTCATGGACTTAATATCTGTAGACAGTAATTCTTCTTCATCCTCGACCGCTTGATTTTCTATTTCCGGTAAATTATTATTATGGTAATAATTATTATTATTATTATTATAATAATAATTATTATTATTATTATTAAGATAATTTATTATTATATATTAATATTATTATTATTATTATTATTATTATTATTATTATTATTATTACTATTATTAATTTATTATACTTATTATTATTATTATTATTATAATTATTTTATAACTTTTATTATTATTATTTATCATTATATAATTATTTTATTCTTAATAATTATTATTATTATTATTATATATTTTTATTATTATTGTTATCAATATTTTATATTTATATTATATTTTTATTTATTATTATTATTATTTTTCATCTTTTTTTTTTCACGCTACAGGACCGTTTTCTATTAGTATTAGTATTCTATGGAATGGTTTGACCTCTGCACCGGGTCCTCGCCGAGGAGCTGAGGGGTACAGATCTTTGTATTTTATGAGCTGGTTATGTTATAACTTTCCTAATTATGTGCGATGTGCCTAATAACTGATAGAAATTATGATCTCCTGGTATCCTTTTTAGGTTATCTAGGATGTTGCGAGTGACATATCCAGTTGAACCAATCACTACGGGAATAACAACTGCCTTTGTATGCCACATTCTTTGCACTTCTATGAGTAATGATTTGTATTTTAGTTGCTTTTCAGCCTCCTTTTGTATGACATGTCTATCTGCAGGTATCGATATATCAATTATATAGCATATTTCGGTGGTTTTTTATAACAATATCTGGTCTGTTTGCTTTTATTCTCTATCCGTGATAACGGGATGTCATACATTATTGTGATACTACCATCTTCACTTCGTGTTATTCTGTCGGGGTGATGCTCATACCATTTCGTCGATTTTATTGGACAACCAAGGTGGCGAGACACTTCTAGATGGATGGCTGCGCAGACAATATTGTGCCTGTCAGTATATTCTTTTGCGCTAGTATTGGACATGCAGATATTATATGTTCAACAGTTTTATATGAATGTGACACAATCTGCATTTACCGTCATTCCTCGTCTTGTGTATGCTTGCTCAATGTAACGCGTTTTCAAGGCTTGATCTTGTGCTGCCACCAGCAAGCTTTCCGTTTCCCCTTTTAAATCTCCGTACTGTAACCATCCAGATGACAGTCTTAAGTCAACCGGAAGCTCCTCCATTTGACGGATATGCTGTCCGTGTAGAGGCTTACTCCGCCATTTCTCTTCGACACATTGCTTCAAGTACAGTTTGATGGACCTGTTACCTCGCTCGACCGTATGTCCGGCTTCCGCAGCTTCTAATTTGATCTTATTACTACGCTTTACAATAGATCTATTTGTTGGTTTCCTATTGTCATGTGCTAGTAACATCTGTAGTAGGCGGTCTTGCTCAGATCTAGTTTGAATATACTGCCCTACTGAGAAGATAGTATTGTTGTACGTTTCTTCTATTTGCTTTAGTCCTCGTCCCCCTTTCTTTCGTGGCACGTATAATCTGTCGATGTCTGCTTTGGGATGAGGGATATTATGTGTTGTCATTAGTTTTCTTGTTTTGCGATCCATTTGTCTTATGTCATCCAATGTCCAATTGATTATACCAAAGCTGTACTGCATGATTGGTATGGCAAGAGCTCCAATTGCTGTTATCTTGTTTCTAGACGTGAGTTGAGTTTGCAGAATTTTACGTACTCTCGTTATATACTCATGTCTAATATCAACTTTCAGTGAATCGTGGGTGATGTGTGAGCCTTCTTTAATTCACAGGTACTTGTACACTCCGCCATGTTCTAGTGATTTGATCGTCTCTCCTTCATCAACTATTATTATCAGAGTCATAATGCATTCCTCTCCTGAATGTGACTACAGCGCACTTATCGAGACCGAAGCTCATCTGTATGTCGTCGCTAAATTTTTTTACAATATTGAGAGACGTATTCAGTTTGTTTTTGCTGGGAGATATGAGCTTTAGGTCATCCATATATAGCAAATGGGAGAGACAATCATTTGCTCCTTTAAGTTGGTAACCTAGGTTGGCCTCGTTGAGCAGCGTACTTAAAGGAACCATCGCAATGACAAACAGAAGAGGTGACAAGGTATCACCTTGATATATACCTCTTTTTATCTGTATGGGTCTTAACTCTATTTCTTCCCCATTATTACTGACTAACAGGGTAGTACCCCATAGCGAAATCAATCGCTTACATAGATCAATGATCTTCTCAGATGTTCCTATAAGTTTCAGAGATTTCAGGAGCCAGCTGTGCGGGACGCTGTCGAATGCCAATCCATCCAATGCTAAGATTTTTTTTGTTCTCTTTACAATCTTCTACAATGGCTTTCGAGAGGAGTAGCTGATCCTTGCAACCAAGAGAGCCCTTGCCACAGCCTTTTTGTTCAGTTGGTATTATCTTATTATCATTTACATAATCAGATATTCTGCTGGCTACAACTTTAGTTAACAATTTGTACAAGGTATTCAGACAGGTGATAGGCCTGTAATTTTTGGGGTCCTTACTATCTCCAGACTTTGTAAGAAGATAGTTTTACCCTTTGGCAGCCAGTTTGGGATATCTGTTCCGTTATCGAAGTAACTATTATATATCATTGTTATTGTTTCGTGTGTGCACACGAGATGTTTCAGCCAGAAATTGGGTATCTGGCCTATACCAGGGGCTTTCCAATTTTGGGCCTGCTGCAGTGCTGATCTGACTTCCACGACACTGATATTTTGCCAGCTCATAGTTGTGGCTCTATCCCCTTCTACCTTTTTCAGCCACTTTGCGTTCTCGTTGTGGTTAACACTTTTCTCAAAATACTTTTCCAATACGTTTCAGTTGTAGAGATGGCTGGAGCTTCAATGGGTTCCCTTTTTCCTTCTCGCAGCTCCCTATAAAATGCTTTGGGATTGACATTAAAGAGACTATTTTGGCTTGTGCTGCTCTTGTCGATTCTTATACCTTCTGAGTCTTTGAGCAGTGGCCGAGATTTGTTGTTTCATTACCTCTATCTTCTCTATTAGCGTTTTTCCTTCTGTGAC